TTTGCAAATGACATGATCTTATATATTGAAAATATTAAACACCAAAAAATTGTCAGGATTGATAAATTACTTCAGTAAAGTTACTGGGTATAAAAAATCAATGTAAAACAATAAGTAGAATTATGTACACTATATGGTTTAGATATTAGGTGCCTCCCCCTCCAGAAGTTCATGTGTTAGACAATGTAAGAAAGTTTGGGAATGAAATGATTGGGATATGAGAGTCTTAACTTAATCAGTGCATTAATCTAGTTGAATGGATTAACTAATCATAGGCAGGTACAGTGTGGCTAGAAGAGATAAGTCATTGGGAACATTCCTTTGGGGCATATATTTTGTCCCTAGTGAGTGAAGTAGTTTCTCTCTGCTTCCTAGTTCTATGTCATGAGCTGCTATATTCAGGCTCACTCTCCCACCATGATGTTCTCGGGCCAAGAAAAATGGAATGAAACCTCAGAAACCATGAGCTCCAAAATAAACTTTTCCTCCTGTAATTGTTCTTGTTAGGTCTTATGTTCACTGCAGGAAAAAAAAATAGTAGATAAAAATATACACTTAAAATAACTATCGAAACAGAAATCAAGAAAATAATCCCATTTACAATTAACAACAAAAAATAATACATATAAATTGCACCAAGATTTGAAAGATCTGTATACTGAGACTATGAAATATTGATAAGTTCCAAACAAACAAATGGAATGATTTTACACTTTCATGAGAAAATATTGTTAAAATGTCCATACTATTCAAAATGATCTACAGATTCAATGCAATCCCTGTCAAAATACACAGAAATATTTTAAAATCCTAAAATTTGTACACAACCACAAAACCACAAAAGATTCTAAATAAACAAAGCAGTCTTTAGCAAAAGACAAAGCTGGAGGCATCATACACAGATTTCAAAATATAATTCTATTATGATTAAAAACACACTGATAGAAAAACAAAGATGTGAACCAATGGAACAGAAAGAACAGAAATAAAACTCTCACATTTGCAATCAATTGATTTTCAACAAAAATTCTGGGTTCACACAGTGGGCAAAGGACAGTCTGTTCAATAGCTGATGTTGGGAAAATTGAATATCCAACTGTAGAAGAATTAAATTGGATCCTTATCTCACTATATGCAAAATTCAATCCAAAACATATTCAATTCTTAAACACATAAGACTTGAAATATAATATAAAGTTACTAGGAGAAAAGATGGGGGGAAAGATTCATGACATGTGTCTGGGCATTAATTTTTAATGGAAACATGGGCAAAAATGTAACAATAAACAAATGAAATGCATCAAACTATAAAGCTTCTATATAATCAAGGGAACAATAAACAGTGAAGAACAACCTACAACAATGGAAGAAAATATTTGAAAACCATACATCTGATAAGGAGTTAATATTCAAATATAGAAAGAAAACAGCTCAATAGCAATAAAACAAATAATCTCATTATAAAATGAAAAGATATTTCTCAAAATAAAACAAAATGAAAGGTCTATGGGCCCATAAAAATTGCTCGATATTTCAAATTAATAGGGAAAGTCAGATTAAAGCCACAACAAGAGATTACCATACACCAGTTAGAATGGCTATCACTATCAAAAGACAAAAGATAATAAATGTTGGTGAAAATGTGGAGAAAAGGGAAGTTTTATACATTGTTGGTGGTAATGCAAATCAGTAAAGCCACTTTGGAAAACAGTATGGAGTTTCCTCAAAAACTAAAGAAAGAATTACCATATGACTCAGGAATCCCATTTCTCTATATCTACCCAGAGGAACTGAAATCTATTCATCTAAGATGTATCTGCATTCTCATATTCATTGGAGCATTATTCACAATAATGCTCAATTTATAATTGATAATGAATAAATTACAAACACACACAGAAACACACACACACACACACAATGAAATTCCATTCAGCCTTAAAAAGAATGAAATTCTATTATTTGCAATGAAGTGCATAAAGGAAGGGAAATTATGCTAAATAAATAAATAAATAAACCAGGCAAGAAAGTAAAACAAAACAACAACAACAAAAATCAACACATGATCACATTCACATATACAATCAAAAAAATTCTAAGTCATACAGATAGAGAGTAGAATGATGCTCACTCACTAGCAGTTAAGGGTGAGTTCAGGAGAGAAAAAGACTGAGGAGATATTAAGTTTCAGTTAGACAAGGGGAAGAATTGTTGAGAACTATTGCACAGCAGGATAACTTTAGTTAATAATAAGAGAATAAATTTCAAAAGTCTCACCACAAAAAAAACTAAGTCAGTTTATGGATAATTCGATTAGCCTGATTAAATCATTCTACATTGTTCAGGTTGAGCATCTGTTATCTGAAATGCTTAAAACCAGAAATGCTTTAGCTTTCAGATTTTTTTTCAGATATTGGAATATTTGGAAATATTTTGGGAATGGTACCCAAGTTTGAACACAAAATTTACTTATATCTCACATACACTTCATATGCATAGCCTGAATTTTCCACTTGTTGTGTCCTGTTGGCATTCAAAAAGCTTCAGATTTTGGAGCATTTTCAGATTTTTTATTTCTGTATAAGAAATGCTCAACCTGTATACATACTTCAAAATATCAAATTTACTACATAATGTTTATGGTTTTTCAATTTAAAATATTTTAAATAATGAGCTTTTAGATAACATTAAAAATATCACACTATAAATCTTATCCTAACATATTTATAATCAATACAGATTGAAAACCTGTGAATAATTTTACAGTCAGCAAGAGGATATTTATTTCTACTGACCACCAAAATGAAATTCAATTCAAAACATTGAACTCTGTGCTAAATGTCAAGAGATTGGAAGAAATAAGACATATAAAACCTCTTGCCATTATGGAGCTTAGAGTGAACTTGGGATAAAATGTCTTGCATCGAAGAATTTAGAAATCCAATATGATATCATCCTTCCTTCTATTTTTTTATTTTACCACTGATTAAAAAAAAGTTCCATGAAAATATCCAAATCTATTACCTTTTATTCTGATAATAGAAACTTTAAAAAAATATCAAAACCAATGCCTCTTATGAGTTTTTTGTATAAAAAAAAAATTCAAATCTTGAAACATTTAAGTGAAATCAGCCTTCCTGTTTTTACAATAGGGGAAACATATTTCATTGGTCATTTTGAATACATAATACATGAAGAAATAATATGAAGGAATACCTTTTTTTCTTAAACTTCTCTGAAATCTGTTAAAATCACTTGATAACTTTATAATTCTGAAGGGCTTAAAATAACTTATATGAGTGTATTTCTGCTAAATTGCCTAAAGAGGTCTTAAGGGGGAGAAAGGATGCAAATTGCCAAGCCTTCATTAATGTGTTATATTTTCTCATTCTAAATACATGTTCTTTTTCATATCTAATTTTGTGTTTGTGTCTTTATATTCTTTTTCTGAAATAACTGCATAAAACCCATATATAGATACTCTAAAGCATGTGCTTTCAGGCTCTAGGCATCTGAGTACCTCAAAAGGTCACATCCTAGAAATTCATGGAGATTTAAATCTGAAAGAGAATGCACTATTAAACGTGCAACTTAACTAACAGAGGCAGTCAGGCAGGACAAGCAGACTGAGCCGACTACGTGATTATCTGATGAGAGAACTCTGCCTGGGAGGGATTTTCCAACCCAGAAAAAAAGACTGATACAATGTGTTTTGAATGGATATTTTGGCAGGTCCAGATCTAGATGCTACCATCTTTCTTATTATGATCCCCCTGAAGGAAAAAAAGAATCCAGAAACATGTTGAAAAATGAAATGTGTCTGGGACAGAGAGCAAAAGGAAAAAGAGACATTCATTCAAGAACCTTTAACTAGTTTCTTCTGCCTTAAAGGACGGACTAGCATATAAAATAGGTTAAAATTTGGATGAGCTTTTGTAAATAACAATAATTAAAATCATATATCTAGAACCCTATGTTTCAATTAGTGTTTACCTACATTAACTCATTTAATAGTCCTGTAAATCTTTTGAAATGAATCTTTTTTTTTTTTCCTCCAAATTTCAACAAATGAGAAAACTGAAGCAAAGGGAAATGAACTAACCAGTTCACACAGCAAGTGAGTGGCTGGGCCAGGGTTCTCACCAAGTTCCTGACTCTGGATTGCATGTACCTACTTTTTCACCCTGTGCTGAAAGATACCGGGAATGAGGAGAGAGCAATGTACAGGAAACAAACAAAAGCCATCACTTCGGGTAGCAATCCAGGTAATAGCAAAGAACAATGGCCATCTTTCCTTTCTCTGAATAAAGAATTAATTGGAAGAGAGATGAAAATATAAAAATAATTTGAAGTGGCTAAGGGGGTGTGGCTTAGAGATTTTTAAAATAGAGAAAAACTAGAACCCAAGGCCTTTCATCAATAGTCCCATAAAGATGAGGCAAGATCCTTCTCCCCAGAGAAGGTAGGTGGGGAGAGGGCTGACAGAGAGAGACAGAAGAAAACAAAACCAGTTTTATAATTTCCAAAGTCCAATTAGGGGAAGGAGTTGGCACAAAATAGTCTTTTTTAAATTATTTCTTCAAGTATTGCACATCTTAGGAATTCTGAGCCTCAAACTGTGATATTTCCTCATCCTCTGGCTCCTGTATATTTCAGCTAGACATCCCTTTACACTGCTCAGGTACTTATTTCACTCAATATTTGTGTTTTCAACCATTTAAGGCTTTTTTTTCCTTATGACTGCTTTTTAAGTACTAAAAAGGGCCCAGCTAGGGATGAGTTATGCTGGCTTCACACTAAATTGTTTCCTTAAAATATGATATATATATTCTGGCCCTTCAATCTAGAGAAACAACCTCCAGGTTTTCAAATGTTTTTATCTGTGTGGTAAATCAGGTACCTGTGAGAGTCAGCAATGCTTTATTACTATACTTTATCCATAAAACAAGCATATTTGTATTCATTTCAACGACAGAAAAAGAAATGCAAGAATAACTTACTGGCCATATTTTCCTCTAATGCGGCATAATACATCCAACTGACCATAATTAATGTTCTTAGGCATTTTTAAGCCTGCAAAAAAAACCCAATTAAAAATGTGAGTAATTTTCTATAATCTTATTAACCAAGTGTGTAAATAGAGTTTAATTGCAAACATTCATCGTAATAAAAAATTCAATGACTATGGCAGTGAAGTATTAACAGTCTTTGTTTGATACACAAACAGAACTGAATAGGATGGTTAAAGTGAGGATAGAATTTAATCTTTTTATTGATGGCAAATCTGGTCTGGCAATTTTTAATTCGAGTAAATGATAAGTTTTATGTGTCATATAATGTCATTCCTCTAAAAGTAAGCCTTCCAGAAATTCTTTCCAATACCTTTAATATGAACTGGTTCCAGACATGAACCACACATGAACTCTTCCAGTCATGACAATTCAGAGTTTTCTTGATATTTTATATTTCTGAACTTCTTTTATCAATATAGGCCTAGTCAATTCTATTCAGGCCTCCCTCTTTGACTGGCCCTCTTCAGAGCACCATCCTGTCTCTGAAAGCAGTTTAAAATTCCTTCTGAAATTCAAATAGAAGCAAATCACAAATGACTCCCTAAGAAAAATAGTAATCATAGCCAAGAAGCAATTTGTGATTCTTTTTCAGGGACAGAATGAGCTGACATCCTCCAAATGAAATGGAAAGGGAGAGAGTGTTAAGTGTAGTAAGCATCTTTACAATGGTGGACACTCATGTCCTAGGTCCTCTGGTTACTCCATAAGAATGAGAGCAGTTAGAAACATTGTTAAACAGAAAGCAGTAATAAATGCTAGATTTTGCATGGTATTCCTTCCCTTAGTGGAAAGTTATTGATAAAATCACTGGCTTAATGCATTCCTAAAAGTTTTTAAAAGGTATTCAGTGACCTTATTCTAATTATGAGGAATTGGAACTTGACATATACAAGTTGACCCATTTCAATGTCAGTTTCCTGAAAAATGAAATTATACTTAAGCCCTTTGTGACCTAAAAAATATTCAGCAATAACATATACTGCTCACTAAATATGAAAATGAAATAAGATAAATTTAAGCAGGAAATTTCTTGCTATTCACATATATCATAACTTTTAATACCCTTGAAAATACTAATTATACAATTTAGGTGTTTTCCTACTGCACATTACTCAGTTAAATTTGAAAAAAACAAAAAAATTACCTAATTGTTTTTTAGCATCATATGGAATCATTTATTTTAAATGAGTCAATTTGTACCTTATAGAAAAAATATTTTAACATATATAATATTTTATATCAGAAATATTACTAAAACATTAATGTTAGTAGACTTTTAAGAATATAAACTAGGAAGACATTTGTGTAAAGTATTTAATTACTCCATTTTCCTGGTGTAGTTCAAGAATAGGGTCAGTAATCGCTCCAGTAAGTGATGTGGATGAGAGATGAAACTGGTGCCACAGAAATTTGTGGAAAAAAGTCAAGATTTGAGAAATTCTAACCACAAAAAGGGGGCTTTAAAAAAACAAATATCTCCCAGGTGCAGTGGTACACACCTGTAATCCCAGTGTCTCAGGAGGCTGAGGTAGGAAGACTGTGAGTTCAAAGCCAGCCTCAGCAACTTAGCAAGGCCCTAGCAACTCAGTGAGATCCTGTATCTAATAAAGTATAAAAAATGGTGAGGTTTGTGGTTAAGTGCCCCTGGATTCAATCCCTAGTAATTTTTTAAAAAAGAAGAAAAATAAAACACAAAACAACAAAACCAAATATTCGTCATTCTTCAGTTGAAGCAGCTTACAAAAAAATGAGAATCATAAAAAAAAAGATTCTAAGAATTGCTAGGAAAGAATATATAAATTAAATACCACTTTGCTTTTTATTTTCTATTTATTTGCTTTTTGTTTGCATGAGAAAAACGACAGTTATCAAAGCCAAATCTCCATGACAGAGTTAGAATAGCCTAGTAAACTCAAAAACAGCGTGGGCTATATATGGCATTCAAGGCCCAGTAGAACATTTTAAGTCATCAAAAAGTTTCTTCTCTAATTCATCAAAAAATGTCTGATTCTCAGTCCTGAGAGGTATTTGTCAGAGGGGTCTTTATATGAAGAGTGTCAACAACCCAATGGACAGTGTCTTTGAAAGCAGATTCATTGAAAAGAAAAAAGCCAAAAGGTTTCAACAAGAAATGGTAACTGTGTAAAGACCAGAGCTGAGCTTTTCCAGGGATCCAATGTAATACAGGGATAAAGTTTAAAGAATTTCAAAGAGTACAAAGTTTACATTTGTTTTACTGTCTTACTTTCCCCTCATGAATATGCCTTAACCCAGCTTTTGACAGAAGCAGAGAGGGCTTAACCCTAGAACAGAGTTTAAATCAAGGATTTTGTCCAGAGTTAAGTGTGAAAGAGGATTAGAAGCTGACATGAAAGGGTGGTTACAAATTAATCCTACACTAGAAATCAATTGTGTAATTAAAGAGCCAGTTATCTTTATTGATATAAGGCCCACTGCACATTATCAAAACAGAAAAACAAAATTCCAATGTGTTATCTGAGTGGTACATAGATGATCTTTTGTTTACAATTGGTAATGCTTGTTCAGAGTAAATTTATTTTCATTTTGAGTAGTATGATAAATTGCATAAGCTTGTCATGGGAGTTATAAAATTTTTGTTTAAAATGCTTTTATGATGATAACTAAAGTCAGCAAAATTGTATAAAAAAATTCTGTTAATAAGTATATTTTAACTGTTCTTGTAACAAAACAAGAGTAACTATGTGAGTGATAGCTGTTGACCTATTTGTACCTTATAGAAAAAATATTTGTTGTTACTAGGCTAGCTATTTTTCTTTCTATATATCACATAACATCATTGTAAGTCTCAAACATACACAGTGAATTTCACATTGAAAAATTTTTTTGTAAATAAAAATTATTCTGAAAAAATTCTATGCTGAGTAAAATAAAATATTTAATCCAGTGGCTTCAGGAGGGGAGATCTAGATCAGCAGTAAAGCATGCAAGAGACTCTAGATTCCATCCCCAGCACCAAAAAATATAATAAAATATTAGCCTAAACCAGGACGTATAACAGTGCTGTGCTGAATTATATTGGAACCTAAGAGAAAAGTAAAAAGAGTGATTTCCATCACCCTAGTTCTTGTCCTTAGGCTCCTTCTGTTTCTGCCTGCAACCTGTAGATGGTAGGGGTCAGCCTGCTTCTGGAAAATTGTGTCCCACTGAGTTCTGGCTTTCCAGAGCTGTGGGGTTACTTGAAAAAGATGCTGATCTGAATGGTAGTGTGTTTACCTAGCAGGTGTGAGGCCCTGGATTTGATCTCCAGCAATGCAAAAAATAATAATAATAATTAATTAATTAAACAGAAGACACTGACCTGACTGGATAGGCATTCTGACTTTGGCTGAGTGCCTTCTTCAATGTTTCCTGTTTTTCCTTCTCCCATGTTTCCTGTTTGTGAATGTCTAGGACCACAGATTTCATCTCTATTTAGAACATCTCAGACCCAACTTCTCCATCAGCCTCCAAAGTCACACCACACCATTTGGAATATGATTGTTTTCAATTTAGCATCCAGCTGTAATTTCTCTTATGCCATCCTGTGATCAATGGAACACGCAGGTATACAAGAAACCTGAGAGCTACTGATGGACAGAAGCTCTATCATTCAAATTGTCATACCTGTCCAAATGTGTTTAGCATATTATGGTGCTTACTTCATGATATATTTTGGGGGGCTGACGGTGAAGCTCAGTAGTAGAGCATGTGCTTAGTACAACACACACACACAAATTTTTTTTTTCCTGGCACTGGGGATTGAACTCAGGGGCAATTTACCACTGATCTACATCACCATCCCTTTATATTTTTATTTTTAAGGCTGGGTTTTGCTAAATTGCTGAGGCTGGCCTGGAATTGAGATCCTCTTGCCTCAGCCTCCTAAGTCACCGGAATTATAGGTGTGCCCACCATGTCCAGGAAAAAAAAAAATATATATATATATATATACACACACACACACACACACACACACACACACACATGTATACACATACATATTATATATACACATACATATTTATATATATATATATATAAATATGTATGTATTCCGGTTAAAAATTTATTCAGGGGTTGGGGTTGTGACTCAGTGGTAGAGTATTTGCCTAGAATGTGTGAGGTACTAGGTTTGATTCTCAGTATCCCATAAAAAAATAATTAATTAAAGTTATAAAAAAATGTTTAAAAATATTTGTGTTAACTATAACTGTGTTTCCCAACAAGTTTTCCTTCAAGAGAAAGAGAAATATCTCCTATGAAAAGCAAAGAAAAAGCCATCAAATAAGTAAAACCTTTGAAATATTGCACATGTACAACCATTTTATTAGGAGAGCATGCTTATTTAATGGCTAAAAGGCAAGGTGAGCGACAGGAACAGCATAGCCATCAAAATGTCACAATGACCCCCTAGAAATGTCAGAGTACAGTGAGCTGGAGAACAAAGAGCTGTAACCTCTTCAAAGTAGTTCCAGTGTATATTGTGATAATTACTCCAATGATAAACAAAGCCCTGGTTAACATAATATCAGAGCACAAGTAAGTAGTTTAGCAGCAATAGCAAGAGAGGTATTAGAAACAAACGTTTTTGTAGTAAGAACAGCAGACCTTATACTATGATAAGTGGAAGGCAAATTCTAGCACCAGACTGAAATACTAAGAAGCTGGACAGGAGAAAACAGACTATAATCACAACTGACTCCTCCTATGTGCTTGTATTAGTGATCCAATTCTACCAGAGGGAACGGGTTTGCAAGTCTATCTAAACTTGTATAATAAGAGATCATCATTAAAAAAAAAGAGAGAGAGATCATTAATCATACCTTTGTTAATGGTCAGTAGTGTTTATTATTTTCTCTTCAGCTAATTTTGTTGTTTTCTAAAATCCCAAATTTAATTCTACTTCAAGTGATACTGAATACATTTAAGACATGTGAATACACATAAGCAATCTGTTGATGGTTTATTTAGGCCACTAAA